CACCCTTTAGGTCTTTTTTCAACATATTTAAACACAATGTTTAAAAAAAGAGAACCCATGACATTGTACTTTTCTCTCTTATAGTGAGATTATACTTTTCAGATGTTAATCTTTGCACTTTTCTTTACTGAATTTCCTTTAAAATAACCAGCCATATTTGTCTTGAGAAGAAGTAGTACTTTTTTGCTAGAAATATTAAGAAAAATATAGCACTGCGGATTATGTCTAACAAAATGTCTGAGTTTTTTGGGTAATGAGATTTATATATATATATATATATATATATATAACAGTTTATTTTTACATCATTTTGTACATTTTTTTCCCATTTTAATTGTAATCCCCGCGGGTTTCCCATCACCAAGACACCCGTGTGCCATCACCATAATCCCGTGCACTTCCCACCCCCTCCGCGTTTTTGATCCCATTCCCTACTCCACCCCCGCAAAATGTCTCTGGTATATGGTTGTTCATTATTTTTGTTATTTTCCATGAGTGAGAGATTTTTGTTGAAATTCAGGCATTGTTGAGAAATAAAAGGTTGTCTAAATTTCATAAGCTTCCGTAAATAAGACCCAGAAGTTACCTAATATGTAATACAGGTTAAACAATCTTATAATTTACCTCTTAAAGCAATACACTTTAGAAAATGAAAGCAGTGCTGTTAAAAAGTCTCAGACAATGAGAACTATCTTATACACACTACTCAACCATCACAAAAGATAAACTAATGCCATTGGTGGCAACATGGAAGTTATTTGGAAGGGATTGTTAAGCAAAATAAGCCAGAACAGAATAACTACTGGATGATGTCACTTATATGTGGAAAATAGAGAAACCAAACAAAGGGTCAGACCTTTGAAAACTGACTTTAGGTCTACAGCATCTAAGAGGAAGGGGCAGGAATGAGAATGGGTGCAGGAAGTAGGGGCGAGGGGAGGGAGAAGAAAAGCACAAAGAACTATGATGGAGAACTGTGGGTGCTCTGATGGTAGGACAGCTATGGTTATCACACCTAAGTGGAATAAATTTTCAACTGACATTGTGAACTGTTAAAGGAAAGAGAAAGACTATATGGATTTCAAGAAAGAGGCAGTTTGTGACATAGGATTCCTAACAGGTTTTCCCTTCCCCTTTGCCTTTTTGTCCTGGCTTTTGAGTGTGTTAGAGATGGGAGGAGATTGGTTTGCTGGTAGAACATCTAACTTGATATTCAGAAGACTCAAAATACTTCCAGGTTAGTTCCCAAGACAATTACCTATTGAATATAGAAACAATAGTAAAGCGATTTAGAAAATTCATCTCTATTTTCTATTTAAGTACAATATAATGATATTCTGGTACCTTGAAACTGGGTTCTCCTTTAAACCTGGAGTGCCTGAAATACATATGAACTCCCTGTTCAAATAGCACTTAGTAGGGGCTAAGTCTGAAGCGTGTCCCAGAAAGCTCTTTGGTTTCTATCATCTTTGCAAATGATTTTGTATGAGTGTTTAACACTGTGAAGTTCCCTTTCCACAATTGGCACATTTTATTTTTCTTTCCTTTCTCTTTGTTTTCTTTCTATGATGAGGTTCAGTATGGAGGAGAGTAAAATACCAAAGCTCTTTATTTTAGGGTTTAAGGAGAGAAAAATAATTGAAATTATAATTAAATAAAATTAACCCAAGCACTTAAAACTAAGTGTCACCATGGAGACCAGAGTATGAACTGTCTCCATGGAGACTTGAGTTAATTTTTTGCTTTAAATTATCATCACTCATTACCAGATGTCAACTTCGCCAAGGAAGAGATGAATAAAAATAAACAAATAAATGAAAATATAAGAACTAGAACTAGACTTACACCAGAGAATTTACACAGGGAAAGTCTAGTTGTTCTGGTTTTTAGAATTCCATTAATCCAATGAATGGGAAGATATCCTAAAGAATATTTTGACTCGATTCAGAATTTCTATTTTGTTTAAGATTTATTTATTCATACAGAACTGGGGTACAGGCCAGAGGTTCAGGAGTGGTGAGAGGATTCACCAGAGACAGAGTAGGGAGCACAGCAGGTAGATAGACGAAGTACACTGCTGAGGGGAGGAGCAGGCAAGACAGGAGAGGTCTGCCATGCTGCCATGTGGGTTACCTCCCTCCCGGGTGGCTAGGGATCACTGATGGGGTAAAAGAAATTGAACTCACACTGAAGTGGCTGTGGCTAGCTTTGTAGTGCTGAGGTTTAGCCCACTGCATCACTAGGGAGGGCCTGGAATTTCTTTTTATTTTTAATATTTATTATTCTTATGCAGAAGAACTGGGATATAGGCCAGAGATATTGGGGTGAGAGGACTCACCAGAGAGAGTGGGGAACAGAACAAGTGGATCTACTGAAATACACTGCTGAGGGGAGCAGATGGCCAGACAACAGAGGTCTGTGTTACAGTATGTAGGTGAGCTCCCTTGCATGGGGATCAAACCATGCTAACTCATGCTGCAGTGGCTGGGGATAGCTTTATAGTGCTTAACCCCTGTGTTACCAGGGCAGTCCTCAATTCAGAATTTCTAATGGAACCATCTAATGGTTTCATAAATACTTCAAGATAGGATAGAAAATATAACTTCTAGAAAAGAGTTTCTCACTCAGAAACATCAAGGTGTGATAGAGGTGATATGGTTCTTTATCTCCCACTCCAACTTCAGAAAAGAGATGGCTCCTTGGTAATATCTTGTATCAGTACTGGACCAGAGATACTCCTAACAACTATTTTGAGTAGTAATCATACTGGTGTTAGATGCTACATAAAAGGAAAGACAGGAATCATTTAAATGTTTAAACTATTGAGTTGTTGAAATTGTCATGACACTTGTTTCAGAAAGAAATTCTAGGATGTAGATGAATTCACAATGAACAATGAAGATCAACTGTATTTGCCAACCTACACATATTCCCTGTAGTGCTATTTCCTATTTTACCTTACTTGCCTCTTCTCTTTGGTGTAAATATGGAGCTCCTATTCTTCCCTTCAAACAAATACACAGACTTTTGTGTAAATATGGAGCTCCTATTCTTCCCTTCAAACAAATACACAGACTTACATCCCTCCTTCTGTTTCCACTTTATACAAATCATAGTATATGCTGAATTTATTGACATTAATTTTTTTACTGATCTATAGAATTCCATGAGATCAATGACCATATATGTGAATATTATTGCCAGGTTATGCAAAAAAAAAAAACTGTTTCACATACAATACCTTGTTTAATATTACAATAATCTTATCATTCCCCATGTAGTAGTTGCAAAAATGGTCAAGAGCAGTCTTATAATATCACATAGCTACAGAGTTGATACTCAAACCACAAGCTCAAACTTTCAACCACTGTTGTCCTAAATAAATACCATTAGCTACCATATATTGCTGACTGCTGACTATGTGCCAGGCTAAATGCTTTATACAAATCATTACCTCTGTGTCTCCAACATGGAGCAAACTGCCATACACATGCACATAGATCAAATTTAATTCTTCCTGTTCCAAAACCATTTTTTTTTTTTAAGATCAACAGCATGAAAACTATCTCCATTTACAGCAGAGTCCAGAATGGCCTTCAGTTATATACCAACCAACCTTTTCTTCCACCAAGTTCCTCATCTCCTTCTCATTTATGCTCTTTTGTGGTTTTGCTATTGATGTCTACAATATCCATAGGGCAACTTCCAAAGCAATAGTGCCAAAGAAAGAAGCACTGTCTGCTTAAAAATGGTCTCTCTTAAATTTCTAGTATATTCATATTACTGATATTTACATTATGATCTAAATACTTATGGAGTAAACAGAAGCAAGAAAAATGTAAATGCTTTTTCTTTATGGTCTGAGTAAGCACTGTATGGGATTTAAAGAAAATTTTCTGCTTCCCAATGTACTTTCAGGTGTTAAATCTATATAACTTCACAGAGTTCAAACTATTCTGAGCCAATTTTAGAGAGGAAAAGTAGAAGTAAGGAGTGGACTTATGGAAAAGTGTGTAGACAATAGCAACTTTGCAAGACAGAAGCTTATGGCTCACATATATTATATGAAAATATGACATCAAATAGACTAAGTCTTATGATTAGAGTGAAAAATCATCTTCTCTCAAAGACAAAAGTATGAAAGAGATCAGAATAACTTCATTTCTTTCTTCCCCAGAATAGTCCAAATACTCTAAAAACAATTGTCAAACAGTGGCCAAGATAACTGACCCAGAGGAAAATATTCTAAATGCCATACAAGTCTCCATTTTTCTCCAGGTTTTTGTCATGGTTTTGCTATTACTTACTACACTGCTTAACAAAACAGAATCTCTATGTAAATTTAAATTTCAAGATCTAAGGGACAGGAGAGATATCAAATACCCCTGGTGGTCAGGCAAGAACTTAACTGTGCAATTTCTAGCCAGAACAGTCCCTAGTAGCCAAGAATTTGTTTGGGAAACTGCTCTAAGTCATTCAGTGTGGCCCACTGTCCCAGCCTCCCCAAGAAATGGCAGCATCATTGACCATTCTTCAAACAGACATCTTTCTGTTGTACCCTTCCTTTTAGGACTAGGTACTTATCTGGGGGATGTGATCTCCAGCCTTCCAAAAGGATCCTCCATTCTATCCTCCACCATATGGGTAGATCTATGATCTCAGTGGTCAGGTTGATGCCTGCAGCAGGTCTTAGTGTCAGCTCAGGAGATGCTGTGGTGGGTTCTCCTATTTCCTCACTGTTCTAGCTTTTTCACTCCCACCCTCTCCATTTCTTTCAAAAGATTTTCTTTTCTTTTTCCTCTCTCCTTTCCTATCCCACTTCTCTCATCTCAACTTTTTTCTTACTTCTTTCCCCCCTTCTTTTCCTTTTTCTCATTCTCTTCTGCTTATTCTCTGCTCACTGCACTTATTCTCCTAACATTACTCCCCTTTCCTCTGCTTCCATATCTCCTTCCCTCTGCCCCTCTCCCAGCACCCAGGAACTGTGGAAAGTCTCTCACCAGGAAGACACCAACACAGGCTTCGAGTATTTCTTGTGGTGGGAACGGAGGGTCAGGGAGCCTTTACGCTCCAGTAAGTCGGTGGGTCCAAGCTCAATCCAGTATTGTTTACTGCTGCACCATTCTTGGCAGCTGTCATAGCGCTCCATGGCAGCTCTCCAGGTAAAGACCTCAGATGATTTCCCTCTGCACCTGTGCTGCTTCAGCTGCCAACACTAACCAAGATTCTGTGTCTCCCATCTCCTTAGCAACCTGGGGCGGGTCAATGGATAGGGCAGGCCAATAGAGGGCAGAACCTTCAAACCCAAAGGTAGTGGTTTCCTGGACAGTTTTAGTTATGAATTAGAAAGAAAATACACTTCCCAGAATGCAATGAGAAGATGACAGAGCTAAGTAGGTACCAGGAGGGAGAGATGCATCTTGGGATCTGTAGTTTTCCCACTTCTGTCTCATTCTCAAAATAATTGGAGAAGAATTAAAGGGAAACTTGGGTCACTTACAGGCTAAGGGGAACAGAGGACTGTTCAAGCAGTCTGAGGTTGAAAAGAATGACCTGCTGGCTAAAGTTTCAGCTGCTCATTTAGACTTACTGGACATGAATTTCTTCCTCTAAAAACTAAGGAGGTAATGGACTGTGAAGAGGGTGAAGTGGACCCAAGAATATGAGGTAACATCAGTCTGTAGCATCAAAGACCCAAATTCTAGGTCAGGGCTCTGATTCCTTTAGTTCTTCAGGCATTACCAAGTTCTCTTTTGCAACATTTCATGTTTTTGTGACAACACAAATTTATCACATTTGTTTTGACTTACATGCAAGGAGATTCTTTAAAAGATTATGGCATCACATCAAAAAATTAGATGTCTTACAGAAGGAAGGTGCTTGTTGTATTTTTAAAGTTTTGAGAAAATGATTCTCGACACATTAGAATTTATTCCAACATCAGATGACCACTTAAAAGCAGCAATGACTTAATTAAGGATGATCCTCTGCCCTAGCATAGTGCTTAGTGCTTGGCATCACTCAGTGTTGAATGAACAAATGAATGAATATTATATTTGATTGTCTTAAATTTACCTGGGCTTCCATAAGCTCCAGAAACATCTTTTTTTGTGAAGTTCACAAAATTCAAATTTAAAAACAGAAAAGAGATACCATTAGAGTCTTTGCTTTTGCAAGATTGTAGCACTTGTACAAGTAGTGAGGTGCTCTTCCTGCTCAGTTTTCACAAATTTTATTATCACAGTTACTAAGTGCTTTTCTGTGGAATGTGGTACCCAGTGTGGATACCTGTGGTACAGCTCTATTTTACTGAGAGCCAGTTAAGCCATGCTATTTAAAACCACATAAATAGTTTACTGTCATCAGCTAAGTGCTAGAAGAGTGCTGATTGCTATTGAGACTTTTTTTTATCTAAAATGAAAAGAAATACAGAAATTAACTTTAAAAAGGTATCTAAGATCCATGTTAAACTCATCTGTCCCATGAAAGCATAACATGCTGTCCATGTGCCAAACATATTACATTTATTACTATTATTTCTTCTTAGTATTTATTTTACTTGTGCTTCAAGCAGTGGCAACATATATGGGGGCAATCAAGAAGTAAAGTCTCTGTAGTCTAATTGACTTAGAAATAGAAATTGCCCAAAGCTAAGTCCTTTCTGTGGTGCACAGGTGCTACAGAGATTTAAAAGCTTTTCAGCAACTCAAAGAGCAGTGAGCTAAGAAAATAAATATAGCTTGTTATTTTAGAGTTCCGTAAGCCTAACTAATTGCATATTTGAGCTGGTATACTCATATCAACTTTATAAGCTTTTTAATTTTCAGTGTCTACAAAATACTTAACATCCTCATATTGGGATGTGGCTTCTCTAATCTACCCTCCAGTTTATATGTATTCCATTCTCTTTACATATGCAGAAATACTGTGGAATTTTGGAGTTGTTGATTCCTTATCAAAATACAAGTCTATGATGGTGTTGCTTGTAGAAAGTTTTGTGAGCATTAGTAAGATAACAAATATATCAAAGGAAGTGAACAGTGCTTAATAAATGCTCAGCCTTCAGTTAAATTGCAATGTCTACTGTCATTACAGATTAACTTTGTCCTTATCATTTGGGAAAAGTACCCTAAAATACAGTTATTGTTTATATGGAGTTTCACAAGTATACTCACTGTTCAAGCTTTGTCTACTTCCAAGGTCTTTTTCATGGCTATCTTTTTTAAATTATACTTTAATGTGAGATGCCATAGTCTGAATCAGAAAAAAAAATTTTGGTAAGATATCTGGATATGTTACTATATTAATGATGTTTTTGTATTCATACATAATCTTTTCTTTTCAAGGCCACTAGTACACTTGATGCTTTATAAATGTAAGATCACTGATCCTTAACACATATGAGTTATTCACACTTTCCTCAAACTTTATCAAACCAGTGAAGAGCAGGGCTTAAAGCAATGTCTTTGATTTATATTAATCTCTTTTCATCATAATATCCTTGAGGTGAGAAAATTACAGCTAGGTAACTGAAGCAGGATTTTTCAGATAAATGTAGGAGGTGGGAATCCTGCCATCTGAATTGACTCTTATGTGTCCTTATTAATATTATTTGATCCTTAAAAAAGATCTAAGCAGGCAGATGGAGAGAGAGACCTAAGGAAGCCACATGGAGCAGCAAACATGTGATGAAGAAACCGGGCTTGTTTCCTGACCCTGGACTGATTAAGGCAGATGTGGGTGAGATACCTGTAGGGAGGTGACTATGGCAGTGTTTATATTGATTTTGATTTTGCTCTTTTCCTCTCAGATTTGTCTGGCCATTTCTGACCCTTTTCCATGGGTCCCGGCCAGAAGGTGCTTTAGTCTTGTGGCAGGCTTTCAGGCCTTGCTTTGGGCCAATCCCTTTTGGATTGACTTTTGCCCACGAGGGGATGGGTAACTTCAGGTGTTTGATTTAGAAGTTATATTCTTTGTGTCCCATATTGTATATTCACTGTATTAAAGTCACTTTTCATTAAAAAAAAAAATCTAAGCAAAACAGCAAATTTAAAACAGATTTAAACTAGCTAGATGTAAATAGTCACAGAGTAAAACCTCTTCACTACCTACCTCCTTTTTCTACCTATTTTAAGAATCCTTTGCTTAACTCCTGGAAAAGTCCTTGTTCAGTAACTTCCAAAGTGCTATAATATGTTCTTCCTTCAGCAGTTAAACTTTCTTTTCTCTCTACCAAATGTCATTCAATTAGGATGAAAGAAAAAATATTATACTGTGTTAAAATTAATTTGTATTATCTCTATGCTGAAGCTGGTTTAAGTCAATGTAAATTATATAACATTCAAAAGTTTAAAGGTAAGTGTTTTTGTCCTAATTAATGATTGCATCGCAATGTTTTAATTCTACAAGGAACGGAAACCTCCTATTACCACCACAGCAAATTTAGGGGTTTACTTTTAAATATTTTATATTAAAAAGTTAGAGTCTACCAGTTATATCAAAATGAAAAAAAGGTGTTTGGTTATCCTCTTCCAGACCTTACTTTCTCCTTTTGTTCCTCTCTCCATTCCTTTATCTCTTTCTTCCTTCTTTCCCTGTTTCCCTTTTTCTTCTTTATTAATATTATCTGACCCTTAAAGAAGTGGTATGGATTTTAGAGATAAATGCTGAGCACCCAAAAGGAATCTAGTACAATTGAAAATTATATAAGAAATATGAAAGAAAAATAGTTAAGACTGGGAAACAAGGACCAAATGTGATTATTCATAAATACCAACTTCTTTTAAGAATGATTTTAACCTTGAGGGGGCCTCTATGGTGACACAATGGGTTAAGTCACAGCACCATGAAGCTATCCACAGCCACTAAAGCACCAGTCCAATCCCTGGCCAGGGAGGTAACCCACTCAGAGCAAAAGACCTCTCGTCTTGCCCTCTGCTCCCCTCAGTATTTGAGTAGTCAGTGTATTTCAGTACATCTGCCTGTAGTGCTCCCTACTCTTGTCTCTGCTGAATGCTCTGCCCCATCCAGACCTCTGGCCTGAACCCCAGCTCTTGTATGCATAAATAAGTCTTTTAAAAAAATAATTTTAACCTTCAGTATCTGCTGTGCTTCTAATTTGAAGTGTAAAACTATGAGGCACTAACTTTCTCTTAAATCACTAGTTTTAAGTAGCATTGATTAAGTGCTGTCATGCCCTCCTACTATCAGCATGAGGATTAATTTATTAAATATTCAATGTATAGTATTCTATAATTCAGCATTTCCTTTATTTTTATATCTAGTCCAGCTAGTAAGTGAAATTCTTTGGCAGAATTGTCCCTAACTATTATGATAAAATTTTAATAATCTGGATTAGAAATGACATGCTTGAACCTAAGTATAGATTAGGGATTTCTTTAATATCCTACAAATTGGAAATCTTTAATTATTCAAAGTCTGGGTATCCATTTTCACAAATTATCTAAGCCCTTGCATTCTCCCTTTTCTTTTCTGTACTGCTTTCTTTTTTTGATGCTTCAATATTTATTATCAGCAAGAGTGAGATAACTTTAGACACCAGGCAATAGTCACTGGGACAAAAGCTTGTGCTTAAAAAAGTTCAGTATTATTGTGGCTTTTATACTTTGTTCCTCATGGTCTTTAATCTGGATAAAGGGAACACCCCCTCACAGGGAAGACGCTCAGAGGAAAGAAGTTGTTTTGGCTTCCTTTCTGTTCTTGTCCCATATCCCTCACAAAATCCACCAAACTACATGGTGAGCAGGCTGCTAAGGAACTAACTAAAAGATGTCTTCCAAAATGGTCAGGTCATTGCAGGCGATTTGTGGTTGTGGAGTATGTCAACTACAAGTTAAGGATGCCCAGTGTCATCAGTCTGAAAGGAAAGGGTGGGTAGTTTAGGAAAGAAGCTGGAAAATTGGGGGAACTTTAAAGGAGCTTTGTTTCCTATGCTTGCTTGGCATGTGTCAGGCTTCTGATGCTGTTCTCTCTGTTAAATCTTTTTCTATGGCATTATGTTTAGGTATTTTAAAGTAAGGAGGTTATCTCAGAAGAGTAATTTTTTAAAGAGCCAGGAAAAAGCAGAGTTCTTTGAAATTGGGTTATGCCCAAGTAAACTCTCCAGTGTTCATTCTTGTCCCATGGAAA